AAAATGGCTATTTACCATAACAACTGCCGCTGTCCCTAATATGTCCCTAGTTGCCCACAACCTATCTGTCTTGACAAGCATCGAACGCTTCACTCCGCGGGTATCCCGCAGTGGCTAGCCCACTACATCTCCACACGTGAGACTCACCTGTCAAGACAGACGCTTTCCCTACTCTATCCCTATAGAAAGGCAGTTGTCTGTTTAAACTGATGTGTTTGTAGGGGTGTATGTGGGGTGTCATCTTCGAGGTCTGTGATATCTTGATGTAGGAAGGTAGGGGTCACGTTATCTACAGTCTTATCTACTGCTTTCTGTAGATATTTCTGTATGCAGGGGAGTATGCAACAGGCTAAAAACAAGAAGATAATGAACACTATAAGAACAGCTGTCCCCACCTGGAAGAGGGTCTTTTGCCAGCCATTCATCCACCCAAACCATTTGTCCCATATGTCAGTGGCTCCCGAATTCTTCTTTAATTCGTCTGCAAGACTATCTAGCTTCTCTATAGCCATAGTCACCTTACCATTGGGCCCAGTGTTGTCTGGAATGTATGTGCAACATGTCATGGTTTCAGGGAGGATTTTACATACCCCCCCTTTCTCAGCTAAAATCATATCTAGGGCCATTCTGTTCTGAAATGTCATTTGGGTTGTGGCTTGTAACTGTTCTGCTAGGCCCTGTAGGGCATCCCTTGTATAATTGACAAAGCGCTGCTGATTATAATAGATATAGTTGATCCAATTGACATTTTTGTTAGCAGTTATCATTGGAATTAGGGATCCAAACCCTGCAGCTACTTCATCTCTTGCTTTGAATTCGTTGGGCACCCCCCTAGGCACACCTATGGCATCAATATATACATGGGGGTCGAAACTCCCTCGGATAGGAGCCTCTCGTTTGGTTCTAGAGTATATGTGTGTAAGATCTAAAGTGTTATGACTACCATCTGGGATAATGTGGATAGGCATTATGACTTTGGTTAGGGCACACTCCCCCCACCATTGTCCAACTAATTGGGACCTCAATTGTTTGTCACCACATAACCAATAGATATCACCGATTGTCTTTGTGTGATTCATTAGCAGTGATACAGGTGGACTATGGTAAGTTGAGCAGTATCCTGATGGGAATTTGCCCAGGTACAAACCAGTGTTCTTAGGCATTGAATAGCACGTGTAATTACCTGGGTAGATGGTGACTCCATCAGGTGGTTTCACATGTCCATGGGTGATTGGGTAAACCTTCTTCCAGGATTCACATGTTGAGGAGTTAGTGATAGATTGTGCATACAAACTCAGTACACATGATTCTATTTCGGGGGGTAAGCTCAGAGGTACTGTGCCCAGATGGGGTCTGGCACCTCCACATACATAACAATTAGTCTTATTGTGTGAGTTAGCGTTATACCTCATCCATTCTAACCACAAATTAGTGTCTGAAAACCCCGTTTCCACTGCCATGGTATCTTCAAAAGTGGGGTTAGCTATGGCCACCATGTCATGTAGGGTCTTGATATGTGGTTTCAATGGGTTAATGACCATATGTGTGGTTCCCACCCAGTCAGAAGAATTTAGCATATCTTGCAGGTAAAAGGTCCCTAATGCGTTATGTGACCCGCCTCCCTTCCAGTACATTCCCATCACATACTCCCCTGCATCCCTTGGGCTAGGGTGTTCTATATTCAAGGTGAGTTTAATGGGAGTTGACCCTATGGGTTTACTCAGGGTCATTCTAGAGAGTAAGGGTTTCCCATCTTTGTCAAGTTTGTCTAATGCTACTTGAGGTCTGTAACCCCATGGTCTACCTGTGTTCCACCCGGCAGCTTTCCATGAACTACAATGGTGACCCCAAACTCCTCCAGTCACACAAATGTATGGATCCTTTTTGTTAGGTATGTCCTTATATATAGCTGCATGTTGTGTTTGTGGAAATGTACAAGTGACTATGTCACAATAGTCAAAGGTGTATGTAGCCACATCAGTATTAGAAGAATTGTACCAAAAAGTGTAAACATGATTATCTTTGGTTATGGCCACTTGTTGGGCCCAGGCAAGATGTAGCAGCATAAGAAAACACAAGACACATAATAAATTCATTTTTCAACAGGATCAGTCTCTTCTGGAGCAGGAACTTTTTTGCAATGTGAAGCGTGTATCCAAGAACTCTTCCCAGCTAGTTTAACTGACGTTGCTGTAATCAGGAGCACTTGGTAAGGACCATCAAATCTCGGTTCTAGGGTGTGCTTTCTGAGAAACTTCTTAACCATAACCCAGTCACCCGGAAGCAGCTTGTGTGTACCTGTATTCGACTCAGGATCTGGAATAGAAGAAAACACTTGGGCATGTATCTTGGTCAAGGCATGTGAGAGGGCTGTCACATAATCTACCATAGCATCTGACTGGATCTGAAGCTGTTGGGGAAAGTAACAACCTAACCTGGGTGCTGTACCAAACAGAATCTCATAAGGTGACAGGCTGTATTTTCCCCTAGGAGTGTACCTCACACTAAACAATGCTAATGGGAGACTCTCGGGCCAGGGCATGTTAGTCTCTTGTGACATTTTAAGCATTCTGGCTTTCAAAGTGCCATTCATGCGCTCTACCTTGCCACTACTCTGTGGGTGATATGGTGTATGGAATGCAAGGGTCACCCCCAGTGCTGACCAGACTTCCCGTGTTAGCGAGGCAGTAAAGGAGGTTCCCTGGTCACTTTCAATCACTTCTGGAACTCCATAGCGGCAAACAATTTCCGTCAGAAGGTACTTGGCTGTAGTTCTTGCGGTGAGGTTGGTCACTGGGAAGGCCTCTGGCCATCCTGAAAACATGTCCACTATAACCAATGCATATTCATAACGTCCGCTTTTTGGCATCTGGATGTGATCAATCTGAATCCTCTGAAAGGGGTATTGTGGCTTAGCTAGGTGGTTAGGTGCAGTCTTTATAACTTTCCCAGGATTGCATTTAGCACATATAGTACAGGATTTACAATAATTCTGTGTTAAAGTAGTGATGCCTGGTGCTTCAAAATACTTGTCAATCAGCGAGTTCATCAGGAGTTTTGACAGGTGGGCTGGCCCATGGGCCCATTGGACCACCGCTGGATACATGTTCCTGGGTAGGCAGAACTTGAGATTGATAGTATAAACATCATCACGGAGTACAGCTCCTTTGTTCTTCCAACTTTGTTTCTCCTGTGGGGTAGCAGCTGCTTGTTGTTCCTTCAGGAGCTTGAGGTCAGTAGGCAATGTTTGCATAGTGTAAATAGGTAATGCATCTGTGGCCACTCTTCTGTCCACTTCCCACCCTTGCCGCGCTGCCTCTTTAGCTGCCTGATCAGCCAAGTGATTTCCACGTGCTTCTTCTGTATCCAATTTTCCGTGGGCTTTTACTTTCAATACTGCCACTTCTGCTGGAAGTTCCAATGCATCCATTAGTTCTGCAATAGTTGCCCCATGTTTTACCGGAGTACCAGTAGCTGTAAGAAATCCTCTGGTCTTCCAAATTAAACCAAAGTCGTGTGCCACTCCCAAGGCATATCTTGAGTCCGTATAAATGTTGACACGTAGACCTTCAGACAGTTTGCAAGCCACGGTCAGAGCTGTTAACTCTGCTTCTTGGGCAGACTTGGTTGGTTGTAGAGCAGCTGCTTGTAATACTTGACATCCTGTGGTGACTGCATATCCAGTGTGATACTGTCCTTGTTCATCAGCAAATCTTGAGCCATCCACAAATAATGTTTGATCTGGATTAAGTAATGCAGCTTCATAAACAGTTGGTAGGTGTGTAGTTTCCATTTTCATTTGTTCAAAACAGTCATGGGGGATATCAATGAAGTCACAATCCGCGGTAAGTTGGTCCTCACAGGCCTCTGTGTGGTACCTGGGATACCCTGTTGTGCAGTAATCAATTGTCTTTTTATTGATCCCTGCAGAAATTAGCTGTGTTTGAGTCATTTGGTTCCATGTCCTGGCCATCGGGCCTAGGTCTTTCCATGAGGTGTTGAGGGATCTGGTGAGAGATATGTGTGGAATAGCTGTATCCCAGTGGTGATAGAGGTGTGTTACATTTTCTGGGAGGCAAACTAAGACAAGCATTGTACCTGTAGAGTCCCAGAATAAATCAGTCAGGGAAATTTGAATTTCTTTGAGCTGGAATAGTTCTTCTTCATAGTTCATATCAGGGCTTGGTACATCCCTAAACCACAATGTGCAGTGGAGTAGGGCCTCTGGTTGTTCATCATGTGGAGGTGTAAGTACAGGTAACTGTAGGTCTGCTTGAACCTCTGGGTTAATATCCAGGCTGTACCAATGGTAAACAATTCCCCCCTTGGGAAGTGGCAGAAGAGTGGCAGGATTCAGGGAAAGACATCTCTGAAGCTTAACATTGTCAGGTAGGAGCAAGGAAGTCTGTAGGCGAAGGTGGCGTTGGGAGGAAAGGTGCTTTGGTTGGGTTTGTTGCAGGATGGCAGTAATATCATGAGGGGCCAACACTGTTAGGTGGTGGCCGAGAACAAAATCATTGGTCTTGTCTAGGAGAGCGCTGGCGGCAAACACCGCTCGGAGGCAAGAGGGGCTACCTCTCGCAACAGGGTCAAGCATGCAGGAGAAATAACCAATAGGGCGTTGTCTTGACCCATGTTTCTGAGTGAGAACTCCGGAAGCATGTCCCGACTTTTCAGAGACAAACAGATTGAAAGGAAGTTGGTAGTTGGGGAGGCCCAAGGCAGGTGCTGAGGCAATAGCTCTTTTCAGGTTGTGGAAGCAGGTGATAGTTTCTTCAGTAAGGTGGAAGGGCTCACTCCTGAGGGTGTCATAGAGTGGTTGCATAAGTTTTGATGCCTCTGGGATCCAGGACCTGCAGTATGTTATAAGACCCAAAAAAGCATGGAAAGTCTGATGTGTTGCAGGTAGAGGGAGTTGCAGAATGGCTTGCACACGCTGAGAAGTCAGATGTTTGGTGCCATGGGAAAGGCAGTGTCCCAAGAAGACCACGGATGGCCGGCACCATTGTAGTTTTGATTTTGAAGCTTTGCAACCTGCTGCAGCGAGGAAACACAGGAGGTCTTCAGAGTCACGCTCTGCAGTGAGCAAATCAGGAGCACAGAGAAGTAGGTCATCAACATATTGAAGTAGAACAACATCCAGATGAGATTTCTGCCAGGGATCAAGAACAAGAGACATGGCATGAGCAAACTGTGTGGGAGAATTCTGAGCACCCTGTGGCATAACAGTCCAGGTGTATTGTTGCCCTTCATGTGTGAAAGCAAAAAGAAAACGGCAGGAAGGGTCAAGGGGAACACTGAAAAAGGCATTGGCTAAATCCACCACAGTGAATATAGTAGAAGTTGGTGGGACTTGGGACAAGAGGGTATGTGGATTTGGAACAATAGCAGTGTCCTTTATGGTGACATCATTGACAGCACGAAGGTCCTGCACCATGCGGTACTGGTCAGGCTGACCTTTAACAGTTCGCTTTTTAACAGGAAAAAGAGGTGTGTTGCAAGGAGATGTGCATTTGATGAGGGCACCTTTGGCAAGTAGGCTGTCAACTTGCTTGGTGATGGCTTCAGCTTGTGCTGGCTTCAGAGGATACTGTGGTCTACGGGGGGGTAGTGCCCCAGGCAGGAGCTGAACCAGGACTGGGGGTACATGTAAGCGGCCAATATCATCCGGGCCGGTAGACCAAAGTTCTTGGGGGACCCGATCCAGAGCACTGGGGGTGTGTGTGACCCGTGCATTCCCTGTGTTGTCAGTTATGTTCAGCAGGATGGGGAGGGAGCAGAGGGCAGAGGTATCCTTTTGTGATAGGGGGGTTGTCAACTCGACTTGGCCATCTGCAGTGAAAGTAATGGAAGCCTGAAGCCGAGAGAGAACATCGGCACCTAGGAGGTTAATGGGACAGGTAGAGGAAACAACAAACCGGGAGAGGATGTGTGATCCTACGTGTAAGAGTTTAGTAAGGGGGTTACTGCGAGGTGTACCATCTACCCCAACACAGGAGACATCAGTGTCAGATAAAAAGGAAGGGTCTGGCAGGTCTTGTTCCCTAAGAACACTACGGGCTGCACCTGTGTCAACTAGAAAGGTGGTTGGGTGGCCCTCCACGGGGAGAACTACAGTAGCTAAAGGCCCTCCCCCATCCCCCGCAGACACTGCCATGGCAGGGGTTGCTGACACAGGCTTGCCGGTTACCTATTGCAATAAATCTAAATGGGCCTGGTCTGGTCCCTGGTACCGGCGGGAAGTGGAAGGGGGGTTAGCAGAATGCATGGGTGGGCGAGATGGACGGATAGCATGGCGGGGCTGTGGCAGACTGTCTTGGAAATCATCGTTGTCATACCCTTCACCAGAGGGCGAAGAGTAAGCACGAGCATCTGATGTGGGCGGCCTGGCATGGGTGTACTCAGGAGGCGGAGGGGGTGGAGGAGGAGGAAGTTGGGGCAACTGTGGAAGGGGTAGGGCAGAGAGATAACCTGTGGAAGGGAAGTTATAGCTGGTGGCATGGGGACCAGGGTACCGGGAAGTCTGCTGACGGAACACCCTAGGCTGTGGGCAATCTCTTCTAAAGTGTCCGGGTTGGTTACAATTAAAACAGGTCCTGATTGTTGTGATTGTTCGGTCTCTGGGAAAAGGAAGTGGTGCAGGCAGTGTCTGGGGTGGTTGGTGGTACTGTTGGAGGGGTAACTGAGGTGCTTGGTTAGAACCTGTGATAGGAGTGGAGGTAGTGTACATCAAAGGATTTGCTCTACGTGGTGTGGGTTGTAAAACTGTTTCCAAACCCTTGGCTACCAACAAGAGAGTGTCCAGAGGAATAATTCTATACTCAGGGCGAGCTAGGATTAACCCCTTACGAATATGTTCCTTGAGGCCTGCCACAAACGCTGCAGATAGCATCTGAGTGTGTGCTTTGTTATAGGTGCTGAACCCCAAATCTGAAAAAGTCTGAGTCAACCTAGAGTGGTACTTTTCAACGGTCTCAAGTTTATCCTGAAGAATATCATTTATGCAAGTAGCCTGATCAGCTAGTTTATCCTGCGCCCAGGCTCGAAGCTGTTCACAGAAAACTTCACCAGAACGAAAATCAGTATCAGAAGTAAGTGGAGCATCGCTAAAGCTCCGTTCCATGATTGGCCAGTATGCATCACCAGCCTTTATTTCACATAAACTTATAAGATCCCGCCAAGCAGCGGAGTATGTTTTGCGGATCTGAGCCATCCGGCGGAAAAAGGGCATGGGTTGCTTCTCAGGATCAGGGAGTGAAGTCACAAGGGTAGCAGCTTGAGAAGGGTTAAAGGTAACATACATGGGTGGTGCACCATCCGCGCCATGGTTAATCTGGGTATACCCCTGGGGGATGGAGCGCCGTTGTGGTGGTCTGCTCCCCCCCAAGTGAGGTGAGCCCTGGTCCACAACAACGACCTCCTCGGGCACCACCGGGCCGCGGTGCGGGGTAGTCTCAGGGGTAGCTGTAATAGGGAGGTGTGGCAAACCTAGCCACTTGGACAATAACCAGAGACTGTGCCTTTAAGGGTTGCCACTAGGTCGGGCGAGATATGCGCTGTACACATATGTAGATGTTAAGGTATTTTCCGTGTTGCCTGTAATACTGTTTCCGCCGAATGCAATTGGCGGTTTTGTATGGGGATTTTCTTTCGTTTCACGAACGGCACTTTAGAAAGCCGTTCGTGAACCGAACGCGATACCCCCTAATAGCCCACACACTTAGAGGCGTGTGGCGCTAGTTAACCGATTGCAACATTGTTGCAATCGGTTATTAGAGGCTCTCCTGGGTGGCCGTCGTTCGACTACCGACCATGCGGCGGTCGGCCATCTTGGATCCCTTGTTCGTCAGCGGGGTCGTGTCGTCGAACGCATACTACTACCAATAGTTATTCGACGGCACGAACACCGCTGAGCCTCCCAGACGTTCGGGAGTTTCAGGACCAAGTTCACCCAAAGCAATCGGTTCCTTTTGTGGGTTTTGTAAGAAATGTGTTTTCTGTGCGGCGTTCGGTTAATTTGGCTGGGATCTGAGCGGCAATCTCACGAATGATGCGCCCAGACCCCAGCTATCTACCGAACGTCCATTCGTGTAAATCCACCGTGGATTTTAAAAGTTATGTATTTTTATATGAATTGCCGGTTCTGCTGCACGAGGGGATAATCCCCTTAACGGTGCATTCTGGGAGGATGATCCCTCTCGTGCAGCAGTGCCTGATGGGAGAAATATGTTATACTGTAAGTCCCCCATGTAGTCCCCTCTGGGAATACCCCTGGGAAGGGACTCAGGAGACCCCTTGCATGGGGACTTGTATAAATTGTCGTGCTGAATAAAGGATTGCCAGTTGACTCCCAAAACTGTGTCTCGTCCGGTTATTGGGAGGTTGGGGATATTGCCTTGGTGTTTTCAGCGCTTGACTGTGGATTCGTTCTGGACCAGCGGAATTCGTGGATTTTATATTGGCGTTCCGCTACAATTGGTGGCAAGCGACGGGATCCAACTCTACAGCCGAATACAGCGCATTCGAATGAAAGGAATTACCGAACGGAAAGGCAATTCGTATGAAACAAGCAGACGAAAGCGATCAGTGAATGGGGACTGATTACACGGCGTTAAAGAGACAGACGCTAAAGGAGCTGCTGGAGGCTAGAGGGAAAAGCGCTAGCAATAAATCGAAAGCAGTCCTGATTGCAGAGCTAATGGAGGGCGACCAAGCACACAGCAGTCCACCCCCACCTGCCAGAGAGGAAACACCGTACCAGAGGGAACTGAGAACCCGGCTGGAATTTGTACCACAGCCAGTAACCCTGGACATCTTAACTATACTGATGGCGGACGTCCAGGATTATATTATGGCACAGCAACACCAGAGGTCACCATCCAGGGCAGAATCCATCGCCAATTCATTCTGCGCTCCAGTGAAGCAGAAAATACCTTACCAGGCATTTAAAGCATTCTGCGAGGAGAAAGACGAGATTGACGGATACCTGCAGGATTTTGAACGGTTGTGCGACCTACATGATCTAGAACAGGCTATGTGGGTACCCCTACTGGCAGGCAAGTTGGCAGGACGAGCAGCCGAGGCGTATCGCGCTGTGCCCAGAGAAGATAGCAAGGACTATTTTAAAGTTAAGAGGGCAATTCTGGAGAGGTATGCCATAACCCCGGAGGCATACCGGCGTAAATTTCGAGGATTGAGGAAGCCCGAGAAAGATTCCCACGCTGAGTGGGCACATAAGCTCGACCAAGCGTCGCAAGGATGGATTCAGGCGAGCCAAGCTACCACAATGGAGGAACTGCGCCAGCTCATCTTGCTGGAACAATTTTTTAACGGACTGTCACCTGAGGCACAAGAATGGGTAAGGGACAGGAAACCCCTCACCCTAACCGAAGCCGCCCGGTTGGCGGATCAGCATTTTGACGCCCGAAGGCATCATGGGCTTCCCAACAGGGCTCCCCTGAGACCAGCTGTACCACACCACCCAACCATCTCCACACCCGCCAACGCTACTCCATTCCGGCCACCATCAGGAAACCCCCCACCGCCATCACGCTACAATGGCAGGGCCAACATACAATGCCATACCTGCCGGCAGTGGGGGCATATGTCCCGGGAGTGCACCCAGAATCGGAGCAGGCAGGCGTGGAACCAAGTACGGCAAAACTCCGCGCCAAGGGCAGTGGCCCATTTCTACCACACCGAACCGGACCACTCGGAGCTGACAAGTCTATCAACCGAAGAACCATTGGGGGTTCTGTACGAGGTGATGTCGGTGCAAGCCACGGACAACCGGCAGCATCATCGCCAAGTTGTATTTGTGGGAGGGAAAGAAGTGCAGGGGCTGCGGGACTCGGGAGCCACCTTGACCTTAGTGGCCCCTCATTTAATTCCAGATACGGCCCACACTGGCGGATCAGTGGCAGTCCGGGTAGCAGGGGGAGCTATGTACCGGTTACCCACGGCCAAAGTGCATTTGAACTGGGGTGCTGGGGAGGGGGTTGTAGAGGTGGCCATAATGAAGAAACTACCGGCCGATGTTGTTTTGGGGAATGACTTGGGCCCGATGACTTCTGCGTTTCTTCCCCAGGCCCCTTCCCAAGAGGCGCATCCGGTAACCACCCGGCAACAGGCTCGCACCACGGCATCCCCCGCACACTCTGAGGCTCAGGTAAGACACCATGACCCCCCCTTGACCGACATGACTTGGGACACCCCG